GTAAGTTTAGCATGCCTTTTGGTGGCATGCACCAACCTGACCTGCATCTCATTGTGATTGGTGCTCTTGGTGAGTATGCACAACCAACCTTTGTGGTACTTGGGGGGAAAGATTTTGTTGAAAGCCTGATAAAATATTCTGTCAGGTGCGCATGCCACAATTTTGGCGCAGCGAAAATTGTGGCAAAAAAATTTTAGGGGTGTGCTACACCCTGATTCCCCTCAGACCCCCCTTTGTAGCACTTAGGGCCAGAAGTGCTACACCCCCAAAATCACTAATGACAACACTGGCGCGCGACCCGCCTGCGCCACAATCCAGCTTCAGAAGTCTCCTGCATAGAATTGTTGTTACCTTGATTCTTGGCTGTGTGCGTCCCACCAACTTGGGGTAACAACATTGTGTGCGCCCCGCCTGCCCGGGGTAACAACACAACACAGTTTCCAGGGGACGCTGTGGAGTTGCCTCACGAGGCCCCCGCAAAAGTGTAAACGCCAAAGCTGTCACTATTCACCCTATTCTCCCAAGTATAGCTGGACTTGCTCTACTGAGCATGCCCTCAAGCAATTCAAAGGTAGGACTGGATCACCAACGTGTCACTAATCTTGCTCAACAACTTCATGCTCTTTCTGTTTGAGATGCCCACAAACTTGTTTCCACGCGTCATGCTATCAAAAACTAAAGTGCCTCCCGCAACCAGATTCTAGAGCCAGGTGCTTTTAGAAATCCTCCAGATTTTCATTAGCCTTTCCTTCTTATCTTGTGGTGGAGGGGAATTTATGGCTCTGTTGAGCCAATGTCTCCTTTCCCTTGAAAGTGATGTAATCTTACCTTACCTTTCCCTTGAATGATGTGGGGAAAGCCTCTCTGGCTTCGTAGTTATTCTTTGGGGCGGAGTTCCCTGGGACGGTGTCCCTTTTTGTTTGGTGCAGTTAACACTGAGAGGAAAAAGCTTTGAGCCACCTGAGCCCCCCCAAGTCATAAGGATACCAACGCAAGGAAACAACCCCCCTAGACGCAATTAATACTATCTACAACTACGACCTAAATGATATCACACATATCAGTGACAGGAGGATCATTATTGCCAAGAAAAGAGACAGGAACAATGAGCCTTCTAAGCACCAAAAACAACGCCTGACCCACTTTGTGCCCATGACCATCGAAAAATGGGCCCTCCCAATGTTCAAACGCGCTGGGTTCACCCCTGTCAATACCAAACCTGCCGCTCGAGCTGAGATTGAGTGTGCCTGCTGTGAGATTTGCAACTACAATGGCGGCAAAAAGCCCATAAACTCTGAGCCCCCCTACCTTGACATGTACATCTGCGATGTCTGCCACCAAACCTACCACTGGTGCTGCATGAAGGAGCTCGGATAATACTCCGATGCACAGAGACAGGATGTAGACAACAACATTTATTGGGCCTGCCCTGCATTCACACCTCTCAGCGAAGATGAGAAATTAAAAAGGAAATCAAACTCTTTCAGCAATGAATTAATATGCATTGATTGGGAGCCAAGGTGGGAACCTGAAGGCATCAGGGAAGCTTGGCCTAATTTTCACCAATGCATCCTTCAAGTTGAGGCCTGCAAAGATGAGCCAGACCTCTCCACTCTGGCTGCTGACTTTGAGCTAGACAACCTTGAAAGGCAATGATTGGAAAACTCAGACAAGGCAAACACTTGGAAACAGAAATTAGACACAGAACTCCRCAACAAGGCCACCTTTGACATGGATCCCACGAACCCCCAAGCAGACATTAACGGAACTGGCCGCTGTGAATTCTGGATCACAACAGTTGACCTCATTAGGCCAAACCCCAACAATACAACGGATCCCCACCCCAGAGCAGATACTACCCACTCCCCTTCCACGCCAGCAATACCACCTCTGGTGCTACCACAAATCTATTCCAAACAAGTGGCATGCATTTACGGATCAGATGGAAAATGCAAGGAATGCTAACCCCAGAGCGCATCAATGTCCTCCACGGTGCATTCAGCAAAGCCAGAGAAAATGGGATCCACAGCACAATTCGACCTCCACCCCAAAGCTTTGCCTCTGAGCTAGTGGGTCTTTTCTCACGCTCAATCCTTAACAACAAAATGCAACAAAGTAAGRAGATCAAGGATTCATACATACGCATCCTACCAAATCATATCCACACTGCCATACAAAAATGGGCCCTTGTAACCCAGGAAAAAATTGCCTCTCCCCTAGACTACAACCCTTGCCACCTCAACTACTGGAGTGGACACCCTCGAGAAAGGGTATTTGGAGCCATCCATAACAGCCTCTCATCCAAATTCTCAGGATTTTCAGTATGCCATCCAATTTACGATGACCATGTGATGTACCTTACTCTCAAACATGCCATTTTTCCTGCCATGCAACAAAGCCACGCCGCGGCAACCTTCATGTTCTTACCAAGCTAGGAAGGCCCTATGAGCACAAATTCATACTCTAAACTCCTGAATGCCTACYCTCACTTCTGTTGCACGTTGGGAGCCATACCCTCAAGAAGACTCAGCTATGCCACTCCCCCTTTCTGGGTCAGCCATGAAATTGTCCTCCCGTGCCACTCCTGGAGCCTACAAATAATTGCTGTTTGGAATACCGCTGCAAGAATCCGCCTGAATGAGAACAACCCAAATTGGCTCACAGGCCTGAAAGATGACATCTGTGAGGCAAGATGGCTGAAAAGAAACATTAGCAATGACCCAATCCTCAATCCCAGACACCCAGAAATTGAAACTGGCTTTGATAAATTCAAAAAGCTACCCTCTGCCTACCAACAAACCCCTTAGAATACCACTCAGAGCCAACAAACTCTTCCACCACTCACATCATCCAGCCCTCATCTGGAACGCAAAGTTGAAAACTGGAGAGAGTGGGCATACACGGACGGCAGCTGCCATGTACACAATGGAAAACAAGTGGTTGGTGCAGGGTCTACCACCCCGCCAGTGACAGCACCAACCATGTCCAGCCGAATGGAGCAGGAATCACCCATACCATCACCAGAGCTGAATTGGCGGCAATAGCAGCTGCCATTCTCCTAGGATATCGTTGCATTGCCACCGACAGCCTTTGCTCTCTAGAACAGATCAGAAAGCAAATACTCTACCCAGAACTTCATCACCAGCATGTCCAAGGCCACATCCTCAAGTTGATCATACAGCTCRTATGCAACTCACCTACCCCTATTCATTTCTTTAAGGTTAAATCTCATGCTGGAATTGCCGGCAACGAATGCGCAGATGCCATTGCCAAGCATCAGGCCATTCAGAATGACGACACCCTTGCAGACATAACCTTCCCATGTGCAACCCTTGAAGGCAATCCTTTTCATGACACCACCTGACTTGCCTTTGAGGAAACTTCGTGCACTCATGCAAATGCTTCTAGACGTCTAAACCCACCTGCAGTAAAGCTGAAACATTTCTCCAACCTCCATGATGCTTTACCGAAGCACATGCACTCAAAACACAAACTTGGAAAGGCCAACACCAACACAAGGTACTGCTCCTTCTACCAAAGTCTACTCCCCAACATCCACAAAAATATCAGTAATGCCTTCTGGACTATGCCAACACTCTCTTTCAAAATGAGGCAAAACATTTTTTGAGTACCGCACAGGTACCCTCTTCGATCAAAAACACGCAGTGCGCTTCAAAATTTCCACAAGCCTACAATGCCCCCCTCTGTGGGGAACTCGACAGTGCCCTTCACATCTTGTCAGGATGCAAAAATTCAACCATGTCTGGTACGGTAACTGAGCGACATAATATTGCCAGCAGAATCCTCCTAAAAGCCATCAGCAAAGGCCTTCTTGGGCCAGGTATTGCCTCCATGGACACTGGCAGTGCAGACCGTCTTGCCTTGCAAGACCTACAGATCCCAGAACATGCTACTAATAGGACCCTCCCTAAATATATTTTCCCACGCCGCTTCCCTAATAATAAGGATAAGCTCACTTCCAGCCGGCCTGATGCCCTATTAGTTGTTCCTCTGAAAAGAGCGTCTAGGTCGAATCCTCGTTTTGAATTGAGAAGTGCAGGGGGGCGCGGGGAAAACAGGGAGGACTCAGCGCCAGGCACAGCCACTCCACCCACATCCAAGGCTCGTGACCCCAGTCAGCTCCACCCAGATCAGAGACATATCCACCTTGCAGAAGTCGAGTACTGTGAGGACACGCGGCCCAACAGCCAGCTTGAGGTCTCCAAGCAGCAGCACCGCGACCTTTGTTGTCATCTTTCTAGAGCCTCAACTCAGGTCACCCTCCATACTATCCTGTTAGGTGTGGGAGGAGTCATCTACACCCCACACACATTGGAGCCTCTAAAGGACTTGGTCTTGACACTTACAAGGCCACCAAGCTTGCTCGGAAGCTTCATGCTCATTCTGTCCTGTATGCCTACAAACTTGCCAGCACCAGTTGCGCTATTGAGAAAACTTTCTTCAACTCTCATCAACACGGGCTACTGCTAGTAACCCTCTTGATCCCCACCGACTTCTTTCTTTTGTTTTCTCTCGGTGAAGAGGATACACGGTTCCTCGGCCCTAGGTATCCCCTTTTCCTTCATTGATGTGGGGAGTACTTTCACTGCCTGCACAGTTTTTCTTTCCTTTTCTTTACCACCGTTTGAAAGCTAATTTCACGCCAATGGAACAGAGCTGTTCTTGGATGCTCGGTCCACCCTTCCACATGTTTGTACCAATCAATGCCTGAAAGGCCCTGTTTAATAAGAACTTTCTTGCGCGCAATTAGTGCGTGCTGGTGCGCGCGTGTGTTGACGTGTGTTGATATGCGTGTGTTCATGTGTGTGTGTTCATATGCGTGTGTCGATGTGCATCTGTTGAAACGCGCATGCGCATGTGTGAGTGTGTGTGTGTGTGTGTGTGTGTGTGTGTGTGTGTGTGTGTGTGTATGTGTGTATGTGTGTGTGTGTTTCTGCAAAACTATATCGATAACAGGACGCGCGAGTTTTTTTTCAAAATGCGGAGGACGGGATTCGAACCCGCGCCCCGGAGGACTAGCGTTTCAAGGTGTACCTTAAGCTAGCGTGTTAGACCGCTCCACCACCTCCGCAATGTCCAATCAGAAAAAAAAATATATATATAATACGGACGTCTTCTAGCTCTGTATGGCACGCACCCGAATATTCACAATGCCCCCTGTGTGAACGGGGGCAAGAAATTTTCTCATTTTTCTAGAATGTTTTTTTCAGGCAATGTTTTTTTAATAGCACTATTTGCCCTAGTGCGAACGCGGCCAGTGTTTGCATCGTGCGACAATACTGCATGTGAGTACTGTACAGACCCCTGACCAGTAGGCCCCCCCCCCCCAAAACAATTGAACAGCAATTGAATTTCCCCATTGCGCACCTATATGCACCCTGCTCAATTTTTTTCATTGCGCGCCTCTTTATGCATCTTCCAAAAAAGCCTGTCCAATTACTATCAGCATTAAACACCCTCAAGGAAAGCTTGCACTTAAATCTCCAGTGTTAAATCTCCAGTGTTTAGCCCAACAGTCATGCATTTTGACTGAGTGGTCAGGTTTACACTAAACCTGCAAGGAAAGCCTGTACAGAAATTTCTACCATTACGCCCCCCAA